TCCATCCAGTCACCCACCCACTCTCCCAGCTCCTAGTTGGCACTCCCTTTGACTTTAGCTGGAGTTGGGTCGCACATGGGAAAGACCCCCGGGCAGCTGGCTCCTCTCACAGCCAAGCCTGGGCGGGGTGGGGAGGGCAGGCAAGAGAGGAGGCCTCTCCACCCTCCCTTAGCAGGAAAATGAAAGAGATAAATAAACTCTAATCCTGACCCGGAGGCAAATCCCAATAAAGATCCAGGTTAATTTTTCCTGCGATCCAACCCTCAGATTCATTGTGAGGATTAGACAGCGCTGCAGCCCTAATTTGCCAGATGAGATTGTATAATTATCTTTTATAGGCCTGGGTGTGATGTGTGCTTGCTGTTTATGCTGCAGGGGGCTGAGCGTGTGTTTAGACTTCAGAGTCCCTGCTCTGTCCTGCCAGACTCGGTTCTCACAGCGGGCGGGGTGGCAGCTGTCGGGGCTCCTGCCTGGCTCGAACAGTGCTGGGGCCTCGGATGAACTTGCCTGGGGCCAAACGGGTAAATCCTTGGGAGGCAGCTGTGGGGACAGTCCCCCGGCTGGAGTAGGGGTCTCCCAGGAAGGGCAAGCAGAGGCAGCAATATTCAAAGGGGAGGGGCCGCTTCAGGAAAGGCTGGGAATTGGAAGGAAGTAGATTGTGAAGGTCGTGACCTTGGGCACTTTCGTCTTCCTAGGCTCCTCCCTCTATAGAAGCCATATATGTGTTAAAAATTGTATTTTACAACTACAGTGGTGTCAGGCCAGAGAGACTGTACGCTGTTACCTAGGCTTTCGTGCAGGAGTTGTTTTACTTGTTCTGATTTTACAAGAAGTGAGAAAGGGGGCCGGCGTTGTGGCCTGACACCAGCTTCTGTACGGGTGCTGGCTTGAGCCCCAGCTGCTCCATTTCTTATCCAGCTCCCTGCTGATGCGCCTGGGAAAGCAGCAGAGGAGGATGGGCCAAGTTCTTGGGCCCCTGCACCCACGTGGGAGACCTGGAGGAAGCTCCTGGTCCCTGTCTTCGGCCTGGCCCAGCCCTGGTCATTGCAGCCATCTGGGGAGGAATGGACCAGCAGATGGAAGATCTTTTTGATCTTTCTCTCTCTCTCTCTCTGTAACTCTGAATTTCAAATAAATAAATGAATCTTTTAGAAAAGAAATGAGAACATTTTTACAGAACCCTACAAGTATCAGGGGCCCAGGGCCCATGTTGGCCTTGGGTGAGGGGATCCAGGGGTTTGGCAAATTCCGAGTTCCAGCCCCCAAGGTTTTCCCTGCGCACGTGTGCTTCTCCATCAGCCTGGCTCCCGGTGCACTTTGGGGAGAAGGCAGGGGGTGTGCGGGGCTGTGTGATTCCCTGGCTGCCGTCTGCTGTGGTTTTAGCTGCTTTCCTTTCTTGGTTCCTCAGTTGTCAGAGGGTTGCAGGAGGCACGGGCCCTCCATCTTGGCTGGAGGAGTCCATGGCCAGTGGTTGGGCCGGGAGTCACCAGGAGTTGTGTGGTGCAAGACATCCAAGGTGTCAGGAGGGGCCCGTGGAGGGAGAGGGTGCCAGAGGAAGGAGGGGCAGGGAGAAGCTGCAGGCTGTGGGCCGCCACGTGGTCTCTGGTCTCCTGCATAGGTTTGCCGCTGGACGTGGCGTGCTACAGTTGTCCCACTTCCGAGGGGTGTACCCCGCCCCCGTCCCCCTGTCTTCTGCCGTCATGACAGGGAGGACAGTGCCTACAGGTGCAAGCCGAGGTGCCGTGGGCAGAGTCAGCCTCCGTGGACAGGCCAGGTTCCCCCGGAGGTGCGATCACCAGGCCAGGGCAGAACGCCAGTGGAAAAGAGACCCTGCTGGTTTGTTTGTTTGTTTTTGTTTTTGTTTTAAATTTTTTGACAGGCAGAGTGGACAGTGAGAGAGAGAGAGAGACAGAGAGAAAGGTCTTCCTTTGCTGTTGGTTCACCCTCCAATGGCCGCCGCGGCCGGCGCGCTGCAGCTGGTACACTGCACTGATCCGATGGCAGGAGCCAGGTGCTTCTCCTGGTCTCCCATGGGGTGCAGGGCCCAAGCACTTGGGCCATCTTCCACTGCACTCCCTGGCCACAGCAGAGAGCTGGCCTGGAAGAGGGGCAACCGGGACAGAATCCGGCGCCCCGACCGGGACTAGAACCCCGTGTGCCGGCACCGCAAGGCGGAGGATTAGCCTAGTGAGCTGTGGCGCCGGCCCCTGCTGGTTTTATGGAACGGAGCAGGAGCACCCTTGTGTTGCCTCAGGGGTCCTTCCAGGTGCCGCCTTGCCTTCCTTTCCATATTGAGTTGTTTATTTGAAGGGGGAGAATGGAGGGAGAGAGAGAGGTCTTCCATCCCCAGGTTCACTCCCCAGATGGCTACAATGGCCAGGGCTGGGCCAGGCTGAAACCAGGACCAGGAACTCCAAGCAGGTCTTCCACGTGGGTGGCAGGGGTGCAGGCACTTGGGCTTCCCCAGGTGCATTAACAGGGAGCTGGATCGGGGCCGAGCAGCCGGGGGACTCCAACCAGCTCTCCCAAATGGGATGTTGGTGTTACAGGTGGAGGCCCAACCGCTGCACCACCGTTCAGGCAGAGATCCGGTGCCTAGAACTGGGCCGCAGGAAAGAGGGGAGGGGGCCGTCGTCTCCTGGGGTACAAACGATGGCTCCGAGCTGCCTGGCCCTCGTCCCTGAGGGGAAAGCCCTGGCTGGAGACAGGCTGGGCTCAGGGTGCAAGAGGGACCTCTCTAAGCCCTTCTGCTCAGCGTGTGTCCTAAGAGCCCCTGAGGGAGGCTCAGCCAGACATGTGACAGACACCTGCCGTCCCAGGCTGCCACCCTACCCCACACTGATACCAAAGTTACCAGCCTCAGCAGACGAACCCCAGACCTCCTTGGGCGGGGGGATCTACCAACCAGGACCCCTGCAGATGGGTTCCAGCAGCCCAGGGAAGGGGTGGGGGTTCCAGGGAACCCCAAGCCTGAGAACTACAGCTGTAAGATTCCCCCATCCCCTGCTCAGCCCCCTTTCCCCAAGAGGAGTTAGGATCCCCTGTGGTCTCCCACTGCTGTCTCTCTTGATCTCTGCCACCCAGTTGGCTGAACGGAAATGCATGGGACAGGGCAAGGAGTTCAGATTTACTCCTGCTAAAGTTCAGGTCTCTGCTTGGAGGGGCAGCCTTGAAACTCTTCCAGAGCTCTTCTGGAGGGGCGGCCTTGAAACTATTTCCTTCGATCTGGGCTCACAGCTTGAGTTGGCTTATTGGATGCTCTCTTCCTGCCACCCCAATAAGAAGCTGAAAATGGATCGGACTTGGGGGGGGATAGTTTTGCATAAAGCAGGGCCGGGAATCCGTTCCAGAGGCCAGGGTTGGAGGTGAGGTGCACCGTGTGGCTTTGCTTGCCCCCTTTCAATGCGTTTTCTAGTATTAACTGGTCGGCTAGGTAGGTTCTGAGTGTTGCGTGGTCCAACAAGGCTGAAATTGTCAAGTTTCTTGGCTCTGCAGGCAAGGGCCTGTTGCATCTGAGGTTGACCCTGGGTTAAGTCCTTGGGTGTGGTAAGGGAGGCAGACCCAGCAAACAGGTGTCTCTGGCACTGGGGGATGGGGGGTCTGGGACAGGCTAGGGGGACCCCGACCCAATCCCAAGACAGGGTCGGTGGATGGGGGTGGCCGCAGGGCCCCAGCGGAGCCCTGTCCTCAGGAGCAAGGAGACGACGTGGACGACGTGTGATGCGCCCTCGATGAGGAACAAACACCACCCAGACAATCCTTTCTCTGTGCGTGAAGGTTACGAGTTTTGTGTTTCAAGTCTGATGGCGTGCTTTCCCCCGCTCTCCTTTCTCCTCTGTCTTTTCACTTGCCAACCTACGGGTCTCCGGTGATTTCTCTGAGCCTAATGACGGGGAAGCTTAGAATGGAGCTATTATCTTGCCACACCTTTTGAAATACTACTCTTCCTGGTGTCCGAATGGCGTGGAACAGAGGTCGGATTTGAAGATTAAGCATCTGTGTCAGCAACAGCAGCCATGACAGCGGCTGTGCTGGCGTCTGTGGGCATTGGTTCTGGAATTCCGTGGATGGTGCGAGAGGGCCTTTCCTGTGGACACCCACGAGGGAGGGCGTCGTGATCGATGGTAGAGTCGGTATTTGCGGAGTGCTGGGTGTTCTTCCCAAAGACCCCAGTGGGTGAATCCAGTCTATAGGTTAGGGTCAGAGGTGAATGTCTCTACCCTGGCACCCCTCCCTTCCAGTTCCAGAACTCTTCTTCTTCTTTTTAATTAATTTATTTATTTGAAAGGCAGAGAGAGAGAGAGAGAGAGAGAGAGAAAGAGAGGTCTTCCATCTGCTGGTTCACTCCGCAGACGGCCACAATGGCTAGAGCTGCGCTGATCCAAAGCCAGGAGCCAGGAGCTTCTTCCGGGTCTCCCACGTGGGGGCAGGAGCCCAAGGACTTGGACCATCTTCTACTGCTTTCCCAGGCCACAGCAGAGAGCTGGATTGGAAGAGGAGCAGCCAGGACATGAACCAATACCCATATGGGATGCCGGCACTGCAGGCTGGGGCTTTAACCCACTATGCCACAGCGCCAGCCTCGAGAGCCCGTGTTCTGACCTTGATGTCGGAACATATGTTCTGACAGTAAACTTGGCACAGATGAAAATTCAGAACGGCATGACAGATTCTGTGTGAAAGGCCCCAGGTACACCTCCGCACCGTGAGCACAGATCGTGTTGTGTTAAAGGCCCACTGTGAGTTGGGGTCCGCTGTACTGTCACCATAAACCTCCTCTCTCTGAAAGCACTCCCCAGGGTGGCTGTGTCCATAGCTGACCCTGGAAGCGTGTCTCTCTCTCTCTTTCTCCTGAATTTCTGTCATTTTAGATGGCATTGAAGAGGAAAACGTGGGTTCGACGCCCATGTCCCCAGGGGGCTGTCACAGAGGGCCACCTAGCTCCACACCAGGGGCCGGAAGATGGGTGCACTGGTGTAACCTTCCCCTTATGTTTCTAGGTGAAATCGGAGGTCTCAGACGGACGTGCCGGGTGCTTCTAACCAGGGAAGAAGGGCCAGAAGGAAGCAAGGTGAGCTGCTCGCGGTCACCTCTCACGGGGCGGGTTCTGCACTCCTCTCCCGAGACGCCCCTCCCGCCGCTGCACGGCAGCCCAGGGCGCTGGTTGGCAGGTAGGTGGCTTGCAGTTTAACCACCAGAGGAGGGCCCAGAGACTCAGGGTCAGAGGCACACGTGGTCATGGCTGTTAATCCGGGCCGGGCCGCCTTCCCCTGGCTTTTACTTGGCTTCAGTTATTTGCATCTCTCACGGCAACAGCAGGTAGGTCAAGTTACGCCCAATCCACAGATGAAGAAACCGAGGTGCAGTTACTGACACAAGGTTGCCCTGGTAGCTTGTGAGGAAGCCTGGACCCCAAGCCGGGCTGGTACCCTCGCCGTGGCCTGCTGACCATGTCCGGGAGTGGCCGCGGCTGCCCAGCCCACTGCCTGTCAGCCCCTGCCGCCTGCCTTGTTTGCACAGAGGCCGCAGGACACGGAGGTCTTGCCATGTACAGGAAGGAGCCTGTGAGTACAGGAGATAGGACAGGTGGATTGCACCTGCTGCGTTTCCGGGACACAGAGTCTGTCTGTGTGGGTCAGTGGGCCGTCACGGATGGCGAAGTCTGGTTCTAATAAAGTAGGAAGTTTGATTTGCCTCTAGCTGTCCAGACTCCCGTTATCCACAGCAGCTGCAGCTGTGGCCGTGTCAGTCTCGGTGACTGAGCCGGAAGCCGAGAACGTGGGCGCGTTTGGCTGCAGGCAGGACTGTTGCTTTCTCCTGTGAAGCCTGGGACAGGGAGTGCTGAGCAATGCAGGCGGGGTTTTGGAGCCAGACTGGTAACTTTGCAGATTTGTCACTGGTGGTCTGGTGTAGTGGTAAAGAGAACGGGACCGGAGGGCCGGGGCCTGGCTGCAGATCCAGATTCCATGACTCCCTCACTTTGCCACCAGGGGCCAGTGACCTTCGCTTCTCTGGACTTGGTTTTCCCTGTCTGTAAAATGGACATACTAAAGACAGTCCTTTCTGCAGCGTGGGGTCAGAGGAGATCGGCGCCTAGGGCAGTGCCTGGGACGTGTTGAGTGTACAGTAAGTGTGGGTCTTTCTGTTCTAATTCTGGGAGGCCCTGGCTGTGCTCCTGCAGATGGCTGAGCCCCAGCTTCTTCATCTGTTACACACGATCCTAACGCCCGGTTCTCGGGCAGAACGAGAAGTGCGTGAGACAACACTCATCACAAGTTAGGTGCTAGGGGCCGGCGCTATGGCCTAGTGGGTAAAGCAGCTGCCAGCAATGCCGGCATCCCATATGGGCGCCGGTTCAAGTCCCGGCTGCTCCTCTTCCGATCCAGCTCCCTGCTAATGTTCCTGGAAAAGCAGCAGAGGATGGCCCAAGTCCTTGGGCCCCTGCACCCATGTGGGAGACCAGGAAGAAGCTCCTGGCTTCGGATTGGTGCAGCTCCGGCTGTTGTGGCCATTTGAGGAGTGAACCAGCAGATGGAAGACCTCTCTCTCTCTCTCTCTCTCTCTCTCTGCCTGTCTATAACTCTGCCTTTCAAATAAATAAGTAATTATTAAAAAAAAAAATTGGGAGCTAGCAAGGCCCTGTGTGTTAGTGCTTTTCCTCGTTTATCTACCTTATTCCATGTGGATTGGTTACAAGGAAGGTGGCCCGCGGTTTGAGCCCCACCCCCTCCACTAGAATCCGAAGGCCTGACAGCTGCTCCACGCAGTTTTCACCTTGAACGTCCTCCCCACTTCCGTAGTCGTGGCTTTCATGGAACAAGCTGAGATCCCGACAAAAGGCTCCAACGTTAGGACTTCCGGTCTTTCCTTTCCAAAGTAGTTTTTTGTTAGTAGTGTTTTGTTTTGTGTGTGGTTTTTTTTTTTTTTTTTTTTTTTTTTTTTTTTTTTTTTTTTTTTTTTTTTACAGGCAGAGTGGACAGTGAGAGAGAGAGACAGAGAGAAAGGTCTTCCTTTTTCCTTTGGTTCACCCCCCAGTGGCCGCTGCGGCCGGCGCGCTGCAGCCGGCGCACCGCATTGATCCAAAGCCAGGAGCCAGGTGCTTCTCCTGGTCTCCCATGGGGTGCAGGGCCCAAGCACTTGGGCCATCCTCCACTGCACTCCCAGGCCACAGCAGAGAGCTGGCCTGGAAGAGGGGCAACCGGGACAGAATCTGGGACTAGAACCCGGTGTGCCGGTGCCGCAAGGCGGAGGATTAGCCTATTGAGCCGCGGCACCAGCCCCAAAGTAATTGTTTGTTCCTTCCTTAAGCCTATTTTTTTTTTAAAAAAAAAGGATCTATTTATTTATTTATTCATTTATTTGAAAGTCAGAGTGACAGAGAAAGGGAGGTGGGACTGGGAGGAACGAAAGATTTGCCCACTGCTTGCTCACTCCCCAGATGCCTGCCCTTCCGCAGCCAGGGCCAGCAGCTCCATCCGGGTTGCCTGTGTGGTTGGCAGGGACCCAAGCACCCGGACCCTCATCTGCTGCCTCCCTGGTGCCTTGGCAGAAAGCAGGACGAGAAGCAGAGGAGCTAGGACTCAAACTGGCTTTTTTTTTTTTTTTTTTTCTGGATATGGGATGCGATTTTCCCAAGCAGCGGCTTAATCTGCTGTGTCACAACGCCCACTCTGTGTTCAACCTGCCAGTTTCTTTCGGTTTAAAAAAAACTATGTTGAGTTGGGTGTTATTTATTTGAGAAACAGAGAGGAATCTTCCACCCACTGCCCCACTGCCTAGACACTTGCAGCAGCCAGGGCTGGGCCCGGCAGAAGCTCACATGTCACTCTCCGATTTTACAGAAGCTACTGTGGGTCTCTGTGTATTGTCACAGCCACCAGATCCCCATGGACAAACCCTCTCAGCCCCCCTTCCCACCACTTCCCCCTCACATTTGGATCTTTCAGCCCAGCTGTCCTAACCGTGTCTGTCCCCCACCCCGCCCCGTGTCTCCCCGCCTGCTCCGCGTGTCACCACCTGTGTGTCCCAGCCCCACAGCAGGGCCCCTGGGACTGGCGGCTCCTTTGCGCGGTCCACTAGCTCACCTTCAGGGTAGCCTGGTGATCGGGCTCTGCCTCCCCAGCTGGTGCCTCCAGAGTAGGGTGAGCCAGGACGGGCTCATTTCCATTACTTGATCGGCCACCCTGTTCCTTTTTCACTGCTCCCCTGGAGGGCCAGGAGCACACACTAGGTGCCCAGTGATGGTCGCTGGAGGGAGCAGGGCCTGGAACAAGTCACAGTGTAGCCACTGGGCGGGCGTGGTGACTGCCGGGCTGAGCGTGTGCTGGCGCAGGGAACGGCTCCCGAGTGACTCCCAGGCCACTGCTTTCCCAGAACAGCATCTCCTGCCTGCCCCAGCCCTCTACCTTCCCTGCTCAGGTGACCGCCACCCAGCGCCAGTTCATTTCCTAAGATGCTGTCCCAGGGCCGGTGCTGTGGCGTAGAAGGCTAGACCTCCACCTGTGGCTCTAGCATCCCATGTGGGTGCCGGTTTGTGCCCTGGCTGCCTCTCTTCCTATCCAGCTCTCTGCTTGTGGCCTGGGAGAGCAGTGGAGGATGGCCTGGGTGCTTGGGTGCACCCCTGGGAGACCCTGAGGAAGCTCCTGGCTCCTGGCTTCAGATCAGCCCAGCTCTGGCCATTGCGGCCATTTGGGGAGTGAACCAGCGGATAGAAGACCTCTCTCTTGTCTCTCCCTTTCTCTGTCTGTGATTCTGCCTCTCAAATAAATAAATAAACATCTTTTAAAAAATGCAGCCCCTTCCTCTCACCTGAATGGTGATAATTTCCCTCCTCCTTCATTTGTTCATAAACTCCTTCAATCATTCATTCATTTATCTAATATTTATCGGGTACCTGGCGGAGAACAGGGGCCAAACAAAACAGGCCTGATGCTAGACAGTGGAAAGGAGTCAATAAGTCAGTTACCAAGCATGTAAGAAGGTGGTGGTTTTGTGTTAGAAAAAAGTTAAAACGATGGTAGAGGGGCCGGCACTGTGGCACAGCGGGTTAAAACCCTGGCCTGAAGTGCCGGCATCCCATATAGGAGCCGGTTCTAGTCCCAGCTGCTCCTCTTCCAATCCAGCTCTCTGCTGTGGCCTGGGAAGGCGGTAGAAGATGACCCAAGTTCTTGGGCCCCTGCACCCATGTGGGAGACCTGGAAGAAGCTCCTGCTCCTGGCTTTGGAGCGACGAAACTCCGGCCATTGCGGTCATCTGGGGAGTGAACCAGCAGATGGAAGACCTCTCTCTCTTTCTCTACCTCTCTCTGTAACTCTGTCTTTCAAAATAAATAAAATAAATCTTTAAAAAAAAAACGAAGGTAGAGACGCACTTCCAGTGTGCCGTCCAGGGCAGGTAGAGGGGGCAGCACTAAACTGAGGAGGTGGCCGCACTGGAGCCCAGACCCCAGGAGGGGAGGGGCACTGGGGTGGACGAGCAGCGCCATGGAGGCCCAAAGCAGGAGCGCAGGAGTCTCCAGCAGGTGGAAGCACAGGTGCGTGGCTGTGGCTGGGGCTCAGCGAGGACCTGGGGGCCAGATGAGGCAGGGCCTGCAGGCCTCAGCCCTGCCCTCCTGGGGAACTGGGAGCCCCAGCGGGGTGTTGAGCTGGGTGCTGTGTTCCTACTCAGTGTTTGAAGGCCCTTTTTCCCAGGGGCTGGTGTGGAAGTCCAGGAGAACAGGGCAGTGAGAGGGAGGGGCGGTACCCTAGCAGACAGGGGCTGGGCCACGCCCCTTCCTCTCTTGTCCCCACCACACATCCAGGACAGCAGAGTGACCTTCCTGGGGGTGATGGACTGCAAAGCTGTGCCACATCTCAGGGGCTGCTTCTCCTCTTGGCTCCCCGACCTGCAAGGCCACTGAGGAGGAAAAGAGAAGGAAAGACAAAACAAAGGGAGCGGGGAAGATGGATAGGAGGTTAGGAGGTGAGAGATCGAGTTCCCACACGCTCATTCCAGTTGCGTTAGAGCAGCGAGGGGTGCCACCAGCCGTGATGTCACCAGCTGTGATGTCATCACGCATGGAGCAGCTGTCCCTGCTGGAGAGCGCCCCACGTGGCCTTCCCAGCACGGTGGCCTGTGGGGACTCCTGGTCCTGTAGCCTCGTGCCTTCTTCTCTCATCTTCCCCCACCCTCT